AAAAAAAAAAAAAAAAGATTACCCAGGCATGGTAGTGTTTTAGCTATTTGGGAGGATTGCTTGAGCCCAGGAGTTTAAGGTTGCAATGAACTATGTTTGTGCCACTCCACTGCAGCCTTAGCAACTGAGCAAGACCCCATCCCTAAAAAGCAATAAAAAAAATTAGCTAAAAAATAAAATGTGCTAAATTTGTTACAGACCTGTGCAACGGACTTGCAGACCAAAGCTGACCGCCTGGTGCAGATGAGCATATGTTCTTCCCTAGCACGGAAATTCCCCAAACTAACAATTATAGGGGAAGAGGTAAGAGTTGCCAGAGACACACTATTTTTTAATCCCTGTTTACTGTATATATTTATAACTAAGACTTTAATAATTTTTATATCACTATTATGATTTCAACCATTATGTCTGTTAACCACAAAAATAATTATTATAAATTGGACTTGGAGGAAATATCTGATTTTAAAATACTTTGGTCCATTTCTCAGCCCCTTGGCCATAGGAGATATAGTTACTGTTGCAATACCCAGCATACAAACTATATGTTGAGCAGAGTTTCAGAACTTGGGATTAAAATGGGATTTGTTGTTGTTGTTTATTTGTTTTTAAAATTAGCCTTGTTTGCATACTTCTCCAAAGACTAGAACACTTTGAAAGTAAAAGGAATTAACATCTCGTGTTAATTGAGAGATTAGAAGTATCTGCTGTCAGAACCACTGTTTAAGTTTAATAATACTTAAAAATTTTTTTCTTTTTGTTTTTCGCAGTTTTTGGCCAGGGCTGGGTTTGAACCTGCCATCTCCAATATATGGGGTTGGCACCCTACTCTTTTGAGCCACAGGCGCCACCCTAAAATTCTTTTCTTTCTAAACTTTGTTCAGGACAATGAAGTTGGGACCATTTAAAATTTGATGAGTCCTATATGGTTGTTTTTGCAATTTCATTAGGTTTGCTTTGAAAGCTCTAAATCAGCAGTTCTCAACCTGTGGGTCGCAACCCACAGGAACTGTATTGAAGGGCCATGGCATTAGGAAGGTGGAGAACCACTGCTCTAAACCTAAATAGTAAACAGAAAGGACTAGGAAAAACTGTTATGCAGCATTTCTTCTGTTACTGATACAAAGTATACTCTCTAAACACGCACCAGTTTCTGTTACCTTGATGTTATCTCTGCTTTAGGATCTGCCTTCTGAGGAAGTGGATCAAGAGCTGATTGAAGATGGTCAGTGGGAGGAAATACTGAAGCAGCCATGCCCAACACAGTACAGTACTATTAAAGAAGAAGATGTATGGTCCATTTTTATACTTAATTCTTCTGTTAATCTTTTTTTTCTCCCCATGGTAAAAGAAAGAAATAAAATTTTTCTATAAAATGAAAAGCTGGGCTCGGCGCCCGTAGCACAGTGGTTAAGGCACTGGCCACATGCACCAAAGCTGGCAGATTCGAACCTGGCCTGGGTCAGCTAAACAACAATGACAACTGCAACAACAACAACAACAAAATATAGCCGGGCATTGTGGCAGATGCTTGGAGTCCCAGCTACTTGGGAGGCTGAGGCCAAAGAATTGCTTAAGCCCAAGAGTTGAAGGTTGCTGTAACCTGTAATGCCACAGCATTCTACTGAGGGTGACATACTAACACTCTGTCTCAAAAAAGAAAAGCTGGTAGTTATAAAATAGAGGCAACCAAGACCTTGAAATCTTTTAAAGCCAACACAGGTATATCAGGCCAACACAAGTATATGGAGTGTCTGACCTATTAATTTTAGAGTTCAGTTTATCATCCTGTAGACTTTCCCCCCACCCCCCAAAACCATTATTAAAAATATGTTTGGGGCAGGGCACGGTGGCTCAAGACCTGTAATCCCAGCACTCTGGGAGGCCAAGGCAGATTGCTTGAGCTCAGTAGTTCAAGACCAGCTTAAGCTAGAGAGACCCTGTCTCTAAAAATAGTTGGGCGTTGTGATGGGCACCTATAGTCCCAGCTACTCCAGAGGCTGAGGCAAGAGAATTGCTTGAGCCCAAGAGTTTGAGGTTGCTGTGAGGTATGATGCCATGGCACTGTACCAAGAGCAACAAAGCGAGACTCTGTTTCTAAAAATAAAAATAAAATACAAAAATAAAAATCAGCACTTATATATTTAAAAATAAGTAGCTGGCCAGGTGCAGTGGCTCATGTCTGTAATCCTAGCACTTGGGAAGCTGAGGTGGGTAGATTGCCTAAGCGAGAGCGAGACTGTCTCTAAAAATAGCCAGGCATTGTGGTGGGTACCTGTAGTCCTAGCTACTTGGGAGGTTGGGGCAAGAAAATCTCTTGAGCCCAAGAGTTTGAGGTTGCTGTGAGCTATGAGGCCACGGCACTGTACCAAGGGTGACAAAGGAAGACTATGTCTCAAAAAATAAAAAAATAGGCTTGGCACCTGTAGCTCAGCAGCTAGGGTGCCAGCCATGTATACTGGATCTGGCGTGTTGGAATCCAGCCTGGGCCTGCCAAACAACAATGACAACTGCAACCAATAATTAGCCGGGCATTGTGGCAGGTGCCTGTAGTCATAGCTATTGGGAGGCTGAGGCAAGAGAATCGCTTAAGCCCAAGAGTTGGAGGTTGCTGTGAGCTATGATGCCATGGCACTCTATCCAGGATGACAGCTTTGTCTCAAAATAAATAAATACATAAAAAATAAAATAAAAGTATTTAATCAGACTCAGCACCCATAGCTCAGTGGTTAGGGTGCCAACAACATGCACCCAGGTTGCTGTGAGCTATGACACCATGGCAGTCTATCCAGGGCAACAGAGCGAGACTCTCTAAAAAAAAAAAATAGCCAGGCATTGTGGTGGGCACCTGTAGTCTTAGCTACTTGGGAGGCTGAGCTAAGAGATTGCCCAAGAGATTGAAGTTGTTGTGAGCTGTGATGCTACGGCACTCTACTGAGGGCGACAAAGTGAGACTGTCTCAAAAAAAAAGAAAAAAATAAATAAATAAAATTCTTAAATCAGACTTTTCTCCATTTTTTTTGTGGCGGGGGACAGAGCCTCACTATGTTGCCCTTGGTAGAGTGCTGTGGCATCACAGCTCACAGCAACCTCCAACTCTTGGGCTTTAGCAATTCTTTTGCCTCAGCCTCCCAAATAGCTGGGACTACAGGTGCCTGCCACAATGCTGGCTTTATTTTTGTTGTTGATGTCGTTGTTTAGCACACGTGGGCCAGGTTCAAACCCACCAGTCCCAGTGCATGTGGCCGAGGGCGCTGAGCCACTTTTCTCTACTTTAAATGAACTTTTTATGATTATGAAACCAGAAGGTTCTTTTTTTTTTTTTTGAGACAGAGCCTCAAGCTGTCCCCCTGGGCAGAGTGCCGTGGCATTACAGCTCACAGCAACCTCCAACTCCTGGGCTCAAGCGAGTCTCCTGCCTCCGCCTCCCAAGTGCTGGGACCACAGGCGCCTGCCACAACGCCCGGCTATTTTTTGGTTGCAGTTGTCATTGTTGTTTGGCGGGTCTGGGCTGGGGATTTGAACCCACCACCTTAGGTGTATGTGGCTGGCACCTTAGCTGGTTGAGCTATAGGCGCCGAGCCGAAACCAGAAGGTTCTTATTTTTATTTTCTAAGACAGATTCTCAAGCTATTGCCCTGGATAAAGTGAAGTGGCATCATAGGTCACAGCAACCTCCAACTCTTGGGCTCAAGTGATCTTCTTGCCTCAGTTTTTCCTATTTTTAGTAGAGACAAGGTCTTACTTTTTGTTCAGGCTGGTCAGGAACCTGTCAGCTCAAGCTATTCACCCTCCTTGGCCTCCCAGTGCGCTAGGATTACAGGCATGAGCCACCGCACCTGGCCAAGAATGTTTTTTGGCTATTACAAAACACATGGTGCTGGTTTAAGCCATCCATAATTTCAGAAATAAAAAAGAAAAAGAGTAGTTTTAATCTATTTAAATCTGTTCTGGAGATTTTGTATGCTTGATTTAGATGTGTTCTTTGTTTCTCCCTTTTTCCTTTTAGCTTGTCGTCTGGGTTGATCCTCTGGATGGTACCAAGGAATATACTGAAGGTTGGTATTTTTTATTTTATTTATTTATTTAGAGACAGAGTCTCACTGTATTGCCCTAGGTAAAATGCCATGGTGTCACAGCTCACAGCAACCTCAAACTCTTGGGCTTAAGCTATTCTCTTGCCTCAGTCGCCCAAAGTAGCAGGGATTACAGCACCTGCCACAACGCCTGGCTGTTTTTTTCTGTTGCAGTTGTCATTGGTGCTTAGCTGGCCCAGGCTGGGTTTGAATGCACCAGCCTGAATGTATGTGGCCGATGCTGTAATCACTGTGCTATGGGTGCTGCCTCAGGTGGGTATTTTTAAAAATTTATATATGGGCCAGATGCAGTGGCTCACACCTGTAAACCTAGCACTCGGGGAGGCTGAGGTAGGTGGATTGCCTGTGCTATGGAGTTTAAGACCAGCCTGAGCCAGAGCGAGACCCCATCCCTGAAAAACAGCTGGGCATTGTGACAGGCACCTTTAGTCCCAGCTACTCGGGAGGCTGAGGCAACAGAATCGCTTGAGTCCAGGAGTTTGAAGTTGCTGTGAACTAAGATACCATGGCACTCTACTGAGGGCAACAAAATCAAACTGTCTCAAAAAAAAAAAATAAATAAATAAATAAAATAAAATTTATATATGAGAGCAGTAGGACAAGAATATGATGTTTAGGCTCAGCGCCTATTGCGCAAACAGCTAAGGTGCCAGCCACGTACACCAAAGCTGGCAGGTTCAAATCCAGCCCGGGCCTGCCAAACAATGACAGCTACAACCAAAAATGGCCAGGCATTGTGGCGGGTGTCTGTGGTCCTAGGTACTTGGGAGTTTGAGGCAAGAGAATAGCTTAAGCCCAG